CCCCAAAACCCCAAAACCCCAAAACCCCAAAACCCCAAATGCTAGATTATGTTTGATTTTTGGTAAATCAGTAATAACTTAAACAAATTAAATTTAAAATTAAAGATTATAATGGTGCAAATATAGTTAGATCAGTGTGAATTGTTTGGAGAATTCGGTGTTATTATATAGATCATTCTTGGTGTTTCCTCTATTTTGAGTCTCCTAGGTATTAATCATGCTTTCATCTTATATATAGTCAAAAGATTGTTTGAGTTTCCTAGAAGAACATGGAAAATCTTCTTCTTGGTAAGCCATTATAGAAAGAAAATCAACACCTAGTTTTTAGAAATTACAATTAGCTAACTATTTCTTTAGGATATTTCCAAGTAAGGGTTCTCTGCTTTTCTAGCACATTGTTTGAACTTGTTCTTGGCTGTAGTGCTTCAGCAATTAGCCAAGAGAGGTGATGGATGTATTTGGTATTTCGTAAATCTCTCTATGGATACAACATTTGGTATTTTCCTTTGCTGGGCCTTTCATAAAGTTATCGATAGAGTTGCAGTCAGAAATTAAATTGAGGTAACTAGATACTTATTGATAAACACAATATTTTCAGGTATTAAAAAGTGGAGTTTACTACAATGAGAATGATCCCTAAGAAGATGATTACATTGACTATAGAATATGGGTTGTACAATTAGTAGTCTGGTGCATGATAGTTGTTTTAGTATGGATAAACTTTTAAAAATTTTGCTTAGGTCAAGATATTGTTGTTTGTATTTCAACTTTATTACTCTGAGTAACTAGAACTTTTGGGTGAATATGCACTTGCTGATTTCAAAGATAATCCTAAATTAGAATTGGTATTTGTAATGATCATCTTGCCTGTCACGCTTAATTCTATACAAGTAAGTATTGTATTAACGAATAAAATAATTTAGTATTGGATCTAAGACAACTTCTTAATGGGCAATAAATATATTGAAGAGCGCAAAGAAAGACTCTTACAACTGGAATAATTTAAAATTGTAGAAAACGACTTTGTCATGATTGATCCTCAAATGGAAAAAAGACCAAGTAGATTAATTAGACAAATAGAAGAGGGTATCTACAACATCAAGCCAGAAGACTATAATGAAGATGGGGAATTAAGATCTCCAAGCTAGGTTAGAGATGAAGATGGCGATATTGTACCCTTTAAACACAATTAAGTAATGTCTGACCAAGATTATTAAAGTTTAAACAATGAAATAAGATAGGAAAGGTATAGCTTCGAAAAAAATGAGAAATAAATGAAAGATGATCAGACCGATAGACAGCATTGAAGCACCAAAATAATGAATACAATAAAAATAAATTAAGCAATTTTGATTCTAACTCAATCTTATGCTTGAGGGGTTTTGGGGTTTTGGGGTTTTGGGG